GGGGGGGGGGGGGTTGGAGACAAAACCAAAACTTGATCGGCTTATTAAGTTGTTAATTACTGGAGGCGCTACAATACATATCAATTTAAATAAAACCTGCAAATTTATTGGGGGGGGGGGGGCTGTCTCTTTGTGTGGGTGTATCTTATTTTTTTTTCATTCTCTCTCTCCATCTCTCTCGCCATCTCTCTGTGTGTCTCTCGCTTAGTGACACTCGTCTGTCGCTCACTTCTTTCTCTTTCTTTCTATCTTATTTCTCTTTTTTTACGTTTAAAAAAAATATATATATATTTATATAATGAAATAAAGAAAGTAATTAATGAGAAACCTCACATCTAGAATCACATCAATGTTGAATCAAGTGTGCCTTGTAGGAAACGGGGGAAGCTTTCTTTAACTTCAGAGACGGTAGCTGGTCTTGCAAGAAATGAGTGTGCACCCCCCCCCTCCCTGGTCCCCCGGGTCGTTTCGGATATTTCATTAAGACCGTGTTAATGAAGGAAAGGGGAATAACTCAGCGAGGCGTTCGCCTCAAACCACGTCGGCAAGAAGGTTTGCGGCCATTCCCGTTGGAGCTAAAAGGAGATAACGGTACTGTAAACGCACCACCCGGGCTGTATTATCATTGCCGCTTAAAGCTCTGACGATAATATCGCACGCCAACTTGACCGAAATCCAACCATGAGGGTATCCTTGTCAATCCCTGGCCAGGAAGCGGTTGGTAATTACAGCCCCTGGCCCCTGGGGTAAAGTCTAGCGCAGGGGGTAGGGGTCAAGTCATTAAATTGGGTTATTCCAAGTTAGCAGAAGGGGGGGGGAGTTTGAGAGGGAAAAAAAGGGGGGGGGGGGCGGATTCAGGTTCATGGACGTGTACCGACATACCTTAGAGACGGATTAGGAGAGAGTGGAGTAGGTTGAGGCTGATTGGAAACAGATGCGTCACTAGGTGAGGACGGCCTGTTGGCCTTAGAGGAAGGGCGGGAAATTGCACATTCGACAAGCTCTCTCGAGTCTGTTGCATAATATATCTAAGTTAAATAAAAGAGCAGGGTGTCACCAGACGTAAGCTTCTGTACCTTATCTTGCACCGGAATCTCAGAATGTGCTCATAAATGTTCTGGCAAATCATGTGAAGGAGATACTTCATCATCATGTCCCTCAGTCCTCGGACCTTTGAGGACTGACAGATGACGTGTGAACTATCCTCCTCCATTCGTCTCTGTCTTCTGCACTTCGCACAGCATCGCCTGGTTTTAGCACCGTCCACTCTTTGATGTTATCTTCCCATCTTGTTTATACTTGTCATGCATTAAAAAAACAAACCGAGAGACATGTTGAAATCACGTTTGACAGCACACCTGGCCTAACACAAACTGACAAAATGTCTGAGGTGATGATATTTTAAAATCCACGATGTGAAAAGTGCAGAGAAGAGTTTCTTTGGGATTTTTCTCCTTAAAGGCGCAAAAAGCTGATGACTTTAGTTCTGACCGTCATTAAAATCTGGTTCGTAATGGAACTGGAAGATAATGATGTGCCAACGTCAGTGTTGGGATAATGCTTCCACAATGTCTGGAGTTTACGGAAGTGTACACGCTAAATACTAAAAAAAGAAAGATCAACACATTTATTTTTTTAATGGATGTGCTTAGCATTAACTGAACTTGGTATTCCTCTTTTCATGAAATGTTCGTCAAGTGTAACTATTGGTGGATCTTGAATGTCTGTTAGATGGGATGTTTTCAGTGAACACACTTGAATGTCTGTTAGATGGGATGTTTTCAGTGAACACACTTGAATGTCTTTTAAATGGGATACTTTAATTAAACACTCTGAACGTAAAGTATTCCACCTGCTGTTTCATATCCCACGTATCTCTGCATGACCTTCACTTTTTGGGCTTGCATGCTTGAGGAAGTAAATCTTATTCAGCAATTCCAGCAGACCGAGGGCTTGAGTCTCGACACAATGGTCACCATGGTAGAAGTGCTACGACGGTAGAAGTGCTACGACGGTAGAAGTGCTACGCCATTTTCTGCACACGTTAACACGGTCACCTTTGAACTGATACAATCTGGAGCGCATGATTGAAAAAAAAAGAATCATTTTTAAAACAAGACTAATATATAATTTCATTCCAGGGAAGTTGAAAATGTCAGTGGAACGAACATGCGACGTCGGACTCATTTTTTGAAAGCGAGAGAGAGAGAGAGAGAGAGAGAGAGAGAGAGAGAGAGAGAGAGAGAGAGAGAGAGAGAGAGAGAGAGAGAGAGAGAGAGAGAGAGAGAGAGAGAGAGAGAGAGAGAGAGAGAGAGAGAGAGA